TTTAATGTTTACTTATTTATTTATTTTGAGAGAGAGAGAGAGAAAGAGCACAATTTAAGCATCTGGCTTTGGCTCAGGTCATGGTCTCATGGTTCATGAATCCGAGCCCCACATCAGGCTCTGTGCTGACAGCTCAGAGCCTGGAGCCTGCTACCAGGATATATTTTAAACCAGAGTTAGTCTTATTCTTCCAATTATAACTAATACTAGCATCAGTTTATGAATAATTTTATTGCACCTTTCCGTGTGGCATAAAGAATGTTATAATTATGCTATTTATACAATCATGTTGTCCAAGATACTGGATCTGCTACCTAAGGGAGTAGTCACATGTGACACTAAAATTTTGGAGGAGACAACTATACCACACTGGAGAATGAGTCACAATCTAATGGAGAAGGGCAAGAATGAAAGCGTTTTTATGTTGCCTTCATAACTCATGCCTCTCCTGACACTTCAAATGAAGCCAGGCCCACCCAGAAGGAGGAAGAAGAGAAGCCTCTTAGAAATGGACCATATGCTCTATGTCTGTAAAAGATACATCATGACACCTTTTCATGTGGCTATCTCATTGACCTCTAAGCTGGTTAGCAGAGGGAGAAGATATAAATGTCTGTATTCAGAGGATGAGATAATTAAGAACTAATAGAGTTAAATAACTAGTCTTAAGTTCTAGAAGGCAAAAAACAGAATGTCATTTTCCATACTCTAAGACTTCCCGTATATCAGTAGTTTCTAGGCAGCAACATAAAAATACCTTCCTACCTGGTTTTTTGAAACCAGTAGGTTTTCTTACCCCTCTAGATACAGTGAAGTTTTTGTGCTCAAAACCAAAGTCTCTTAGTTCAAACAGACAATTAGAAGGTGGTTGCAGGCATCCTATTTCTTCAAGGCATCAAACAGGCCTCTTGTATTAAAAACTGCTCTATACAAATATTAAATAATTGGAATTTTGAGGGGAAAAACCGAATATCTTGGTTTTTGTTTTTACAGCTCCTTTTATATTTCAACCTGGAGGAAGATAGTAATATTTCTTAAATAATAAATTCCTTAAAAAGAAATCTTCAATGTTGCATCTGTGATGGTCTTTAATAATAACAGGCATAGGGGGTTGAGAGCAAGAGGCCTTGAGGTGCATACCTAACCAGACCTGAGGCCTTCACTGCTACCTGATCCCATAGGGTCTGCTCTGTTTTATTGGCTTCTCATTGGTTGGTCATCACATGTTTTGCCACCATAGTGAAATTTCACCTTATTACAAATAATAGTGTGAACTAAGACCAGAATTTTCTTTCTATTATCAATTTGCCCTGAGTTCTTAATAAAAACAAAATAAAACAAAACAAAAACCACTATAGGGGTGCCTGGGTGGCTCAGTCAGTTTAGTGTCCAGCTCTTGATTTTGGCCCAGGTCAAGATGTCATGATTCATGGAATCAAGCCCCACATCAGGCTCTGCACTGACAGTATGGAGCCTTCTTGGGATTCTCTCTCCCCCTCTGTCTCTGCCCCTCCCCCACTCGCACTCACTGGCTCTCTTGCTCACTCTCTCAAATTAAAAAAAAAAAACACACTATATATTCAGCCAACTACATATTCTCTCCTATACTAGTTCAATCTAGCTCAATTTTTGGCTATGACATTCCTGACTAACATTTAAGGACTTTGGGGGTGGGGAGAAGAATTGTCCTGAAATAAGGGGGAATAAGGATGGGCTAGTACTTAGGAAACAGAAAGGACCGGGGTGTTCATCAGCTTCGGAGCAGATAACTAATTAGAATGATTTGGCAGGTCTATAACATGCCACAGCTAGCTCTGTGTGTGTGTGTGTGTGTGTGTGTGTGTGTGTGTGCGCGCACATGCCATATGGCCTATCAATTCTTTAGCACGAAGGCTATAGGTACTGGTACATTGGTAAAGGCAGTGTGTTTAGTACAATATAGGTTCTTTTTAAAATAATTTTTATGTTTATTTATTTTTGATGGAGAGAGAGAGAGAGAAAGAGCACGAGAAGGGGAGGGGCAGAGAAAGAGGGAGAAACAAAAAACAAAGCAGGCTCCAGGATCTGGGCTGTCAGCACAGAGCCTGACACGGGGTTCAAATCCACAAGGCATGAAATCATGACCTGAGCTGAAGTCGGGCGCTTAACTGACTGAGCCACCAGGTGCCCCACTATAATATAGGTTATTAATAAAAGTTAGGAATCCCAACTTAGATTTTTTTTAAAATAAAGTTCTTTTTTCCCCAGGTAGTCAACTAAAGATTTATTTTTTCCCCCACTTCAAAGGAAGGACCATCAAAAAAATGCTCCAGTCTTCTCTTACCTTCCCAAAGAAAACTTTTAAGAATAATGGTCCTTTATTTTCTAGTTCTCTCTGACTTTAGGGAAGAGCTTATCTATTTTAATTTTGTAATTTAAAAATGTTTTACTTTAGTATCCACTGTGTACCAAACAATGTATAATTAAATTATGGAAACAGAGAAAAATGTCTCCTGAATGCAGAAAGTTACCATCTCAGTATTGGAAAAGGTAGTTTGTTTCTAATATTCTTGATCGTATTTAAAATTTAATCTTAAGTGTCATAAATATTAGAGTTAAATCTTTTGTTATCTTGGACATATTTTATAGTTTTCTAGAAAAATTTGGTGAGGATAAAGTGAGAGATATGTGAGGTCTGAGGAATTCTGTGCTCCCATTTCTTATTTTGTCAGTAGACAAATACAGTGTTTATATAATTCTCTTTTCTTAGTTATTAGGTATTGATTAGTTTTTCCTGGGCTATGAACAAAAGTAAATGTGACTTTTTGTGAAACTCACTGTTTTAATACCTGGGGTTTTTAACAAATTGGCTCCAAAAGTAAACACAAGAAGCTGAAGTACTCTCCCAGAACGTGCAAAAAGCGAAGATTAAATGCCCAGGAATGAGGTTTTGAAACCTGTAACAAGCATCCAATATTTCATTGAGCTCTTCTGGACCTCAGTTACTCCTGTCAGCTATGAAACCGGTGCTCAGAACCCCAAGGACGACGTAGCTCCCATTCTCAACCGAACCATACCATCAGAGTTTAGGAAGCAACTGCAGTGTTTCTCAGCACATACACCTGGAGGCTTTTCTCAGTCACCTTGAGAGATCTGAGTAAAGAGAATTTGTTGATTTATGTGTAAATCATGATTTCCTAGAAAACATGGTTAATTTCAGGTTCTGTTAGGATGTCTGGACAGCAGTTGAGTGGGCTTAGCAGGAGAAGTGGTAAGGTGATTGGGACACATGGTGAAATTCCCTAATATAACTGGAGAGTTCTGTTCTATTCTATTCTATTCTATTCTATTCTATTCTATTCTATTCTATTCTATTCTA